CACCCTGGGAAACGTATAATCATGCGGCAAAAAAGTCTATAAACTGGCAATTGACTTCTGAATTCAAGTTATCATGACCCCACTGTACGTCATATTCGACTACTTTCACAGTACCCACCTCACCTTTTATCTACCTTTGTGCCTGTCTCTTTTACTTATTTAAAAAACTCTTCTGCTTTCCCTTCTCGACTTTTTTCGATTTGATGTTCCTCTTCCTCTGTGAAGCCTGAAGTCAACTAAAGGGCTAATGATAACTATCGTAAAGCCTGCAATTTGATATAAATACTGCTAAGGATAATTATATTAAACTAAATTATCGCTTACTTGGAACGCTGAAAATCTTCATTTTGCTGATATTATCAGTAAAGAATGTAACCAGATCAATTGGAATACGACCCAGCGACGAAAGAGGACAGTTGAAACTGCGAAAACCATCAAGATCACTTTGGAGATGACAGTCGTTGTTCACATTTAACTTCACCAATTTAGAACTATTACTTCCAAAGTGGAATTCTTAAGAAATTAATAAAAACGCAGTAATTTAGTAGCAAAATAAATAGAAACAAGGTTAGCAGAAAGACAACTATGCGAATATGAGAGATTAATTATGGTAAACAGGTGGTGCAACTTAAAGATACCTACCAAATTCTTCTTTTGCTTTAGAGGCTAAGACGATGTTTAATTCCCTTAGAATAAAATTTCGTCCAAAGTACACGGTCAAATTATTTGGCTCAATATATGTGTGCCTTGGAGAAGATTCATCAAAAATTTTCCAATAATATGTATGACAGAATTTTGTATCATCGACAGGTATATTTTCAATCTTGAATGGCTTCTGCATCACAGCATCGACTATAAAAATGTTTAGAATAATAAAAGCTGGATAATAGTACGTTTGTTGTCGTATTTGACGTTTGTTCCTTCTACCTGGATTTCGTTTATGCGTATCCAAGAACTTCTCTCTTTTTGACGAACCGTCCAAAAAATATACTTTCCAGTTATGGGTACAGTTGCATTTCCGATAGTGCAAGGAAATTTGCACACAACATTGTTATCAGAATTAAGGCATTCAAATTTCAATGAACGCTTCCCATAAATACTGTTATAACCTATTTCAACTTCATGATCAGATTGGATACTATGCTCTCCTGAAAAATAAATATATTAAGAAGAATTATTCAATGAATCTGAAATATTGAGTTTTCTAAAAGTATAAGATATTATATTTACCAACAATTGTAACGCGATCAATTAAATTTTCCTCCTTTAGCTCAACTGCTAGAGCAAATGTTTCATTGGATTGAACATAAATATTTGAAGAAGAGTCGATATTTCCGTCGAAAAGGTTTGGAAGATCATGAAAAATACCAGACGAAGAAATAACGTTAAATGAATTCGAGTAGATAAATTCACAAGAAGCAAATAAATTTAGTAAAAGAATAATATAGCATTTTATCAGCATATTTCATGAAGAATTAAAACGCCAAGTGATATAATATGGTAAAATCAAATTAGTGCCAAGGTTAAAACTGCTAGGACCAATTTACATAAATGAAAAAACTATTATTAATTTAACTTTGAGAATATATTTATTAATATTTAGCAATTCTTGATAGTTATTCAAAAACAATTTTATTTATATATTTAATAGTAAATTAGTCATAACTTGATAAATGGATATGAAGATATTCTCCCTATATTTTTTATTAAATTTGTTATATAATCGGTATAACCGGCTTTAATGCATGATTTTATGAAGCTTATGAAATGACCAACCTTGGCCTTGTGCATTTATCATAGTTAAAAATTATGCCTACACTGTTTGATTAAATAACCAAATTTAGCCGCTATTCTGTGAACGTTTTATCACGAAATCTCTTCTCTCTCAGCGATTTGGATTAATTTTCTTTGACTTTAACTTCCTATGAATAAATAAATTTGTGTGAGTAAATTTAAACAACTATCTTGAAATACTTATATATAAATCCGCAAATTATTTTGATCTGTATTGAAAATTCTCGCTACAGCATATGCAAATGAAGGGCAAGGAAAAATAATCCATTCTTAGACCAATCCAATGAACTTGACCTTACATCGTAAATTATTATTTGAAATTCTTCTCTATTTCTCCGTGTAAAAATCTTGTTTTAATCAACATTTATGATCAATGGTTAAATAAACAGAAAAAACATCTCAAAAGACTTGTTCATATGCACCTAGGAAAGAAAAAAGAGAACAAGGAAATCGCAGGTAAAGCCTTAAGGGATATTATTTATGCACCTAAATGAACCATTGCGAGAGTTTTTAATTTGCAACTTTTATACGTTTATTTCTAAAATTGTAATTATCATTGTATACAAAAAAATTATCCGCAACATTTAGTATGCATGAATTACTGCCGATTGCTTGTTAATACATTTAGAATTATTTCTTAAGCTAAGTGGATAAATATTGACCTTGGTAAACTTTAGCGACGGTAATTTTATAAATGGAATTTTTCTTTTATTGATACATTAATGTCTTTAAAAGAAATACGAAATTTGTCAGTTCTAATGCGAACTTTGGGTTATCCTCGTCCTATTTCTTCAGAGCACTTTACCGCCCCAAATTTCCCTCTTGTCGCTGAAATACTCTATTGGCTTTCTCAATGCTTGGATTCCAACTTTGATATATCAAGGTGCATTGATTCAGAACAAGAACGAATCACTTTCATTAACTCTATAGTGCAATTTTTTTCTAATAAAACATCCACGAAACTAAATCCTAAAAGACTTTATGAAGGAAATGTACATTCAGTAAAGGAGATATTAAAATTGGCCAAGGTACTCTACTCTGCTCTCAAATTGAATAAAGCAGTGGATACTGGTAATGATGGGGATCTGATTTTGTCGGAAGCGGTAAGACCTGATCAATTATTATAAATATTATAGCATTTAAACATTTAGCTTAAACAACCCCAGCTTATTCGTTCCTTAGCTGGTCAGTTAACTTCTTTAGGCTCCTCATTAAAATCCCTTGTGTCCAAAGAGACTGATTTTCGTAAAAGTCGAAAAGAAGCTATTGAACGACATCTTGATGTTGAGTGGGTTGAAAAGTGTCTCAATGATGCCACTGATATTATTTTGGGAGAAGTTTCGAATTTAGAAAAGGATCTCTCTAATATCAAGGAAGATGAAAAAGCCCTTGACGAAAAAATAGAAAAGCGACGACATGAATTAGGAAGAAATAAAATACGCCTTTCCACTCTTAAAGTATTTTTACGTGTTATTTAACTGTTTTTGTCTTTGTTCATGTAACTTATCTTTTGCTTTTTATGCATCAAGTCTGTTCGTCCTACTTATATGGATGAATATGAACAATTGGAGGAAGAGCTGAAAATTCATTACGAAACTTATTTGGATCATTTTCGTAATATTTCTTATTTGGAAAGTTTAAGAGAAGAAAACTCTTTGTCTGATGATGTGGGTGAAAATAATGTGGATACCATTAACAAATCTACTGCTGGAGAGGTACATAGAGCCTTACTTGTTTGATATTTTTTAAGCTTGTTTTGGTTTCATTGGTGCCTATAGTTCACCATTTTTATTGATTGAACATTTGTTTATGTTCCTTATTTGGATAAATGGTTTCACTTATTCTAATTAGTAGAATGTGATTAACATTGCGATTATCCTTTCAAGGGAGTAGGTGAACTGTTGCCAAATATCGACACTAATTTCAGTAGAAATGCCTTTTATGTGAAAAATCGATCAGTTTCACTTCGGAATTTTGAAGATAATAAATCAGAAAGTAACTCCATTTCCGATCGGACAGAACCAGAAGATTCAATCACCAACGACGGTGAAGCCTACAACAGACATGACTATAGTTTTTCTGAAGATTACGATTTCGTTAAAGGTTTGAGTGTGGTTGGACATGGCTACAGGATGGATGGTGATTGGACTCCAGGCAAATCTGGAGATAAGGATGAGGTCATTTCATGCATTGCATTTACAGTAGGCGATTTCGACATTTACTGTTAAATTTTGACCCATGAGTTACTTGAGTTCTCTAAATTCTGTTTATTGAATGTTCTCGAAAGTCATTCGGCTTCAAACAAACAACGTTCATTGGTTTAACATATTACTTATTTATAACCTAACTGATCATCCTCTTAACTTTAGAGAGACGGAGAGATAAGTCACTATGATATTGAAGAAGCCTTTGCAGAAGTTCTAGCTGAAACAAATAAACTTGCGGAGGAAATTGAAAATGAGCAGAAAGCTAATCGAATGATAACGAATCTGAATACCCAGAGTCTGGATGAGCTCTCGACACTAGAATAAGGCAATCTCCCATTGCTTAGTATTTAACTGCGTGTTTGTTGCCTTAACATTCTTTGCTATAAACAAACTCAAAAGAGCGAATAATTGTTTACAAAACCACCTGTGTGCACATAACTATTATTCTAATCTGTTGTTGTGGCCTTAATAAATGGCTAAATTATATCAACCATTCGTGGAGGCTTTATTGATATTCAACTCATAATATCACTTTGTACTAGTCCGGATTTTGTATTTCTATCCTGAAATTATGGAGAGGGGGGAGTATAAAAGTGATAAAACAACGACTCCCCCCCAAGGTATGGATCAATGTAATTTCAATCGGAAATTTGAATTTTCTGCTTTCTTTTAATGATAGTTTTGGGGTCATTTCTAAAGTTCACCAAACATAATTTTACTTGAATGGGAACGGATGATTTTCATCTTTTAAGGAGAATTATAATTTGGTTTATAGGCTTCTAGCGAGAAATTAGGCAATTATAACAAAATTTATTCGCATAATCGTATATTTAAATACTAATACATTAGAAAACGCACAACAAATGCTATTTTGTCCAGATGAAAGCTCCTAATTGTTCTAAAAGAAAAATACGGCTTCAGCATTGGCCTTGAACTGTAAACGCCTATTGGGTTATAACTAGAAAAAGGAAATATGTTAGCCTTATTGAAAAAGTATGTTAAAAATTGAGAATAATTTGCAGGTTTTGGCTCCGTAAATTAATTTCCGATTCAGTTAGACCAGTAGAAATTAGTTCTGAGTACTAATAGGATTTCATTTCTTCATGACATGAGCAAGGGGAGTTATTTTTTAAGTTCAAGTAACTAGCACTTTTCACCTATGTCTGGAAGGGCTGTTAGGTACAAGGTAAATACTGGGGATAACGATGTTTGCCACTGAAAGAGTAGAGTGACAAACGACTATCTATCCCTTAACCATATTCTGACGCTCCTTCACTGATGCGTTAGCTCCATTCTACCGACTTTTCGTCAGCCTAGAGTGATTAGATTCCACTTGATAGTCAACTTATTCTGGACATTAACAAATTACCAATTGGAATCGAAGGCGAAAGTAAACCCTTCATTGGACTTTTTATTTAACTACTCAACTTACCACATTCATTTTCTTAAATTCTACCAGTTCCATGAAAATTTGTTCCAGGATATTCCGAGCTGTGCGCTGAGATTCGGCCAGCTTTTGCGAGATACCACATACAGCACCACATTGAAGAATAAAATACTCTAAATCACATTCTGTGCCTGATAAATAAATTTTAGTTCTTTTTTAATCACATAATGACGTAAAGAAAAAATCCAATCACTTGAAATATGTTGCTTACATTTATTTGCCTCTACAGCAAGTTTTGTCTTTTCTGATGAGAATTCTTCATCCAAATCAAATAGTTCCAAGGGTGGGGGCTCCAATTTACTGAAAGTTGGAGGGAATACCTAAATGAAGGAGAATAATCATATTCGATACAAATTCAATTTGTATCAAGTGGAATTTCTTAACTTCCGAGTCTTTTTTTCAAAGAAGGAAATTCCTTCACCCTCATAAAATCATTTTCTTCAATTAAGGATCGGTTTTGAAATTTATAAGGAATCGCTTAATTCGTAGTCATCTAACAGAATTATAACAAAAGCAATTTTTGTGATATATTTTCAATTTCTCATCACGTTCTGCCTTTAATTAATGTCGCTGAGCAGTTGCCATCACTACTACAACACCTCTTTGTCGTGAGGACTTTATTTACGTGCTGAGCTTATTGAAATAGATTAATAAATGCAATATCCCTATAAATACTTGAAGATTTAAATAAATTTTGAGCCATTAAACCCCAAAAATTAGACATTCAAAACAATGTACGAGCACTTAAGTGAATTGATAAAACTTGGTTTCGCACCGATCGATAAATTTTGGATCTCCAATTTTTTTTGACTTATTACCATTGCATGGTTCAAATAAACACCTTCGTCTGTTGGCCCATAAAATTAATTTGTCATATTTTTCAAGTATACATAATTATTTTCCCATTTGATATGACATCGGAAAGATATTTTAAAGCAACATGATTCTTATAGTCAAAATTCTGTAGTCAAAAAATCCTGATTTGTGGAAATTTTAAGATGGGAGCGATATTTTTAAATCAGAGCCTTATCCTAATTAGTATGTAATCAATAATATAATAAGACATTCAAACATACTGCAGGTTGTAGAGGTGGCAATGGGGTCTCGAACTCAGGCGTTATGAGAGTGAGTGGCTCATGCACAACTCTTAGCTTTTCGTAGGCCCTGCAGTAAACAAAAAGATGTTTTATACATTATCATGAAAATTTGGTCGAGGCCATTTTAAAATATCGACGAAGGTATCTGGAGTTGAAGAGATCAATAACAAAAGTCACAGGTATAGTAAGCATTTCGAAGATGCGATTCGAGTAGATTAATTTGATTAGGGAAGAAGAAGAATTTTAAGTAATTTGGAAGAAAGCGAGCAAGTTCTATTTACTTAGAGCTATCCTTCAGCAATATCCGATTGTCCAAATACCCTAATACACTCTTTGGATCTTATTCCTAATACCACAACACCTTGTTGTTTCAGCAGTGTTGAAGTAGACGTTTCCTTTATGCTTAGTAAGTACCATATATCACACTCTTTTTTTCTTAATGGCAGTAAAGTAAACAAGTATTTCCATAGGAACTTGCCCAGATTCATTACCGCAACTTAGCTTTCAATATATATATATATTCGTTACGATTAGCTTTTATTTACCTTTGTGTATTGCTATTTACAAACAAACTTAAAGGAAGGTAATTTTGAGGTGTATAAACATGCATTATTATTATCGCGAAGAAGATTTTGAACCAACTATGTTTCTCGTCTTTGAGCCAATTGTCTTTATCCGCAGTCACTCCCATGTTTCCAGCGGTCCATTCAGACCTGAAGATAGACCGGCTGAACTTTAACATCATCTCCACATAACTTTATAAAAAGAACTTTGTGCGCTTGTATGAGAATGAGAATAATTGGATAGTTGATTAGCCACTATTATATTGAAGAACAAGAAACGATTTCTACAGAAATTTTTTAATGAGGTTAAAAAATGCTTGATTCTTGTAAAGGTGGAAATATTGGAATGTGAAGAAAGTAATTTCCCTTCTACCTCAATCCACAATTTGGTTTTGCTTATTTCAAGGTCATAGGAATGTTCCATTTTGTGCCTAATTGACTTTAACTTTTCTTCACTCTCAATTTTATTAGGAAAACTTGTAATTTAACATTCTTACTCGAGCACTTTGGGAATCAAGGACGTATCAACCGAAAATAATTTCTGATCAAACATGTCCTCCACTTTCTTCGGGATCTCCTCACTTTCCTCCAAACAGGCCTTCAAGTTATTTGCAAGTTTAGAAATATTTGGGACTTGGAAGTATGAATCGATTTCTGGATCCTGAGCATCTACAGCATTCAAGTTGAGCTTATCCGAGGCGAGGAATGAGAGAATGACGTCGAAAATCTTGCCATTGTCCTCCTTGTTTATGTAGGCGTCTGTAAACATGGCTACACTCCCAACAACGGCTATTTTTCCCGTTGGTCCATTGGGATTCTGGGAAATAACAATGAAAAGGAAATATTTCAGAGTCCAACCTTACTTGCCGTCCCATACACTATAAACTAGAAAGTAATGAGAATGCAATAACAATTTATGCTTAAACATATATTCTGCACACTAGTGTCTGAAAATCTGCATTTATATTGTGAAAGTAGTCCCCTTTTCGTAAAGTGAGTTTTAAAAACGATTTTACTTGATAGACACGTAAGAGAAGACTGTTCTTCGAAAATCAACTATTTGACTTAAAAATATCCAAAATAAAAAAAATTAAGAGACATAAAATATCAACAAATGCCAACGCAACAAAAGTGAGTATAATATCTCATAGTGCACAACTGTGCGAGATATATGTTCATTATACCAATAACAACAGTTTGGATAGGTGAACGAAAAAACTTGATGATAGAGAGAAAATCTTTATTATTAAGTCGAGAAATATTAAAGAGAATTTGTGGTACTGTTAAATACTGTAGTCCAAAATATCGTATCAAATACAAGGAGAAATAACACCTTAGTCGTTTGGTAACGAGTATTTTGAAAGCTTCCGTGTGAGCAATAAACAATAAACTTACATGACTGGAACTGTTGATTAGAAAGAAACATAAAGTGAATTACTTACTATTTCTTTTACATTCCGAATCTTACTCCCTTTCGTTTTAATAAGATCAACTAGCCTATTGTTAACAGTATTGTTAACAATTATCGAAACAGCTCTGTGCTCATTTTATTGAGTGAGGTGGCAACTTAAATGATTGTATGAGAAAGTGGGTAACAAAAAATAGTACCACACAGAGTACTTCACTAATTAGAATTCACTCAAAAATTATCTTTATGTAGTGATTTTTTGATTTTAAAGACTTTTGATAGTATGCTATGCTCACCTCAATTTCACTAATGGCGCAGACTGGACGATTGAGAGGAAAAGCAACGCTGCCCGTAGAAAGAAGAGCTTTGGCGGTTTTATCAACATTAAGTGTTGCTCCAAAGGCATAGACAAATTGAAGGGCCTCTTTTGGACTAACATCACCTGCAGATTGACAGCCTGCTATTTCACCAATATTCCTGTTTTTTAATAAAATAAAGGAATAGATTAAAAAAATAATAATCTAAAGTGTGCGCTTATTTAGGCACCTGTTTAAGATTCCGTTTGGAATTAGAGCTTCTTTTGGATGAAAATATTTGTAGTAAGAAGTTCTAACAACCGAATCTAAAACCATTCATTCAGTGCGAATATGGATTACCATTATTTACTGATATTCCGTATTGTTTGAGCAGAAAATTTATATTGATTAAATATTCGCTGTCATATTTTTCCCCAAGAAGAATAAGGACTGAGCCGCCGTTACCTATGTATTTATTAATGACTTCAAACTGAGTTAAATAACCACATATTAAATACTCTAACCTCTTCCAAACTAAACTTTGCCATTGGCCCAGGTATAATCAATAAACGGGCATCACTGATTGTTGTAGTAGCTATTTCTTCTGAATTACTAAACTATTTAGAATTGAAATAGGTTCATACACACGAAGTTTCCACTTGAATTTTAAGCGTTTATGAAGTTCCTTAAAATTTTGACTAAATGTAGCGGTCTCTTTCTTAGATTGGTCAAATATAATTAGGTCTAAGACGATTTGACCTGAGATTTGACAAAGATCAGGCATATTCAACCAAATTATGTGTTGTTATTACCCAAGGTTGTCGTATTCCTTTGAACAAAATAAACACATCATTGTAATAATATATTTCAATAAAATGAATTTCTAAGAACATATGTGTGTTAAATTTATAGTAAATCAATTTTTAATTTCAATTAACTAAAAATTACATTTAAGTCACATAGGCTAGCAAACCATAACGCTGAATTAACCATAAATTCTATACTAGATGCAACAAAAAATCTTCACTGTTTTTAAATATTGCAGTGCAAATTCGAAAGAGAAGATCATCAACAACCTAACTTTTTACTTACTTGACAAATCCAGTTTCGTTTTTTCGAAAGTCAGTGAATTTTACCGATTTAGAATTAATTGAATTTAACGAGAATAATTGCTTGAGTCGTTGAAATAAATCTATTTAACACATAATTTCACATTTAGTAATATTGGTGATAAGATCTAATCCAAATGAATCGAAACTTGAAGGAAATTTGAGGAAAGCGAATTATTGGAATGCACTTTCATTTTGACTGGGACAATGTCAATCGAAGTAAAGAAATAAATCAAGTCTCTCCAGGCGATTATCAAAAATCAGATGGTCAGAAAGATGTCTCATTATTTTGTAACTGAATTAATTACATTTACTAAGCTTTTCGTCGTCAGACGTCATTCATTGAGGCATTGGCTTGATGACTATTATCCGTTTAGTCATAGGTGTACAATCATGCACACAAACCTATGAATATTGCAGTCCAGATTTTTTTGGAATAAATTATTTTTTAAATCGCAATGCTATTTGAAATCTAATGTCTAGAGCGAAAAATTTATGAAAATATATATGGGTTTTAGTATGTTCAGGTGAAAAATCTGGCTCAGCTTTACGTAAACAACAGTATTGAATATTCCTGCCCATTTTCCTTAGATGCGCGGAAGTCGATTCGAGGAAACCAATTTTTACGTCGTATAACATAAAAGTTGAAAACTAAGATTTTATATAAATTGGCTGAAGTAATTAATCCAAACATTTTTTTCACTAACAATTTTGGTAATTCAAATTCCATCTAAAAAAACAAACCACAGCATAATATTATAGAAAACCAAACGACACCCGAAGTCAAAAATTACTGGTTATTTAAGGAATTGCCCGAAGTTTCGATGTGATAATATTTTATGCTCTTGAAGGAAATAAAAACAAAAGTCTAGGTTTTCGCAAATAAATTATATCACGACATTTTTGAATATAATTAATTACTAATTCTGACTGAATAATTAACTTCAAAAAGTGTGTCGATTACATTTAGCATATTTTTAACTTACGTTTCATATTAGAATATGTATTTATAACTTTTAATCCACAACTTTCATCATTAACCTTGAAATGCAGTAAGTTGATTGGGCATTTGAAATAGTGCCTAATGAAATGGAATTCCTGAGAGCTCTGAAGTTAATAAGGTTCATTGCAGCTTCGAGGAATATTAATTCATTAAATAAGTTGAAATGCTACGGAATATATGGGAATATTCTTTTCTAAGGGTAGGCTATGCTTCCTATTAAATGCATTTTATAAAATCTATTTTATGATAATTTTGAAACTATTTAATAATTTTTTTATTTACTGTTCGTTATGTGATTTAAAAATTTGACGTTTTAGTTTGAAATTTTCATTGTATTGGTCAATGATATTACCAACATTCACTTATTTTATGTAATTTTATTTCGATGATTAATTAGATTTATGATGTTTAATATAGGTGATTCTTTTCCCCGTTTCTGTAATGATCAAAAATAAAAATATGCTTAATTTTTCTTCCATTCGAGATATGTGTTCTTCATAAATATAGTTATATCTCTAGTAATTAATGGTTGATCAATTTATCTATTTATGCTCACATTTTCTGTAAAACAGGTACAATATCTTTCTTTACCATTTCGGTATATCTTAACGATAAAAATATATATCGACTTTCATCAAGCACTAGTTCTGAACATATTTGGCGACTGTTGTCTCCCTACGGCTTTCTCCTTTCCTTTACCACCTGCAAGAATTTGTTTGTCACATGGTTTGAGGATTTTATTACTGTATGTTAATACCTATCATATCCAGCCCATTTAAAGAGCAAAACACTTTTATTAGTGATTATTTACTCTTTGGCAGAGTTGCTAAGTTCTGAAGCTAATCTATAAGTTTTCCATTCTCCAGACATAGATAAAAATGTTTCAGACAAAATCCGGTATTCAGCAATCTCAATCCACAGGCAATTCCCGAATGCCTCCCTCGACTCTTTCATCTCAGATTCCCCTTTCTCTCACCTCAACTTCTGCAGGAGTTATTCCTTCTCCCTTCGACTACCCGCAGATGGTCCATGGTTTCAGATCTCCCCCTCCTCCGCCTTCACAATCTTCATCACATTTGAAAGACACAACCTCTCAAAACCTGAATCCATCATCTGGTCTCTCATCTGCCTACAACATGGCTGCTGCTCTCTTTTCCGCATCATCTATGCGTCAATTTGGTGGACCTCAGAACGCAAATGCTGGTCAAAAACGGCCGGCTGGTATCTCTCCCAATACAGGAATGCCCCATTTGAGTGAAAAAAGTCCTGGAATAGCCGGGGGGAGTGAATGTGGTGGTACCACGACCTCTCAATCAGACGATGCGGATGGAGAAGGTGGCGGTGGCTGTGAAAGTGGCGGTGGAAATGAGGCGGATGGTGTCTGGTCCACTGAAATTGAACAGTACTTTCAGGAAGCACTGGAACTCTATCCACCTTGTGGTAGAAGAAAAATCATTCTGGCGGAAGAAGGGAAGATGTATGGTGAGTGATATTTGACTTTAAATGTAGATTTAGTTTTATTCAAATGTTAGGGGATAATTTGAATGCCTTTCCGTGTTGCCTTTAAAAGAGTCTGATGTTTTTGTTCGATAACTTCGTTAGTACGCACACTTCTCAAGTTTAAGTAAATGCTATAAATTGGTTTAATTAGCAGTAAGTTAATAATTAAAGTTCATGAATAAGAAGCATAACGTAAAATTTAATGAAATAAAAGTTCAATACTTTTCAAACCCTTCATGTTTTGTAAATTATCTCAGTTACTTTTATAGTTTAATAAATAAGCTATGTAATATTTTATTTAAAGAAGAATTTACAGTTCATATCTTTTGGTTCCCACCAAAAAATTGTTTTCAATTGAATTCCGACATATTTATGCACGGATAAATCAATAAAATTTACTGTTTATCGTGTACCACTTATTCTATAATGTTTATTAGTCTGTTTGTTCAAACCGTCCAATCAGAAATTCAAGCTAGTTTTGAAATGTATAATCGATAATTTGGCATTTACTGTAGAGTAATGACATGTTTAAGCTCGAAGCAAGAAATTCTCGCACAAATCGAAATGCAACTGAAGCGTATCCTTCCCAAGATGTCATGATAAGGAGTATTCAGTGACGTTTCACTCTGTTAGAGCTCTGATTTGATGGCCTATCTATGCCAGAAAATTCTTTTTTTCGCCTTCGAATAAACAGGACTTTTACGAAATACAGCTAATTCCTTTATTTTAAAATACGTAAGTTCAGCCATGGGAGATGAATTGCAGCTATTTTTGTCATAACTTGGTATCTGTTCAGTAATTCATTGACCTTTATTTCTAACATTTAATATTAGCAGTATTTCACAAATAAAATGTAGCGCGGTGGGCAACACCTTATCAGGAGTTAAAGCTGTCCGAAGTGAGGCAACTGAAAATGCTGGATTGCATTGTTGTGAAAGTATTGTTTTTTTCCAAAAACTTTAATTCTTTTGTTTTTTTTTCCTACTTCGAAAACAAAGGTTATGTTAGCTTTAAGGTTAAAAATCTATTTGAGCAATTAATTGCATGTCCAACACCCACGCACTTTATTCCCCCCCCCACCATAGTGATATGAGAAAAGGGCTTAGTGGCTAAATCTGGCGAATTCGCTCATTTAAGACGGTGCACAATTGACCTGGAAACTTCGCACGCATTTACCATAGAAGAACAGATTTCAACAATTCTACACCTACCCGTAATGATACACAATAGCAATCTGCAATAGTTCTATTTCATCTATTCCCAACCTTCTGGCTACTACTACTACTACTAAGTGTATTTTAGCATTTTCTAATGCAGCGGCATGGAACTTCCCCGGCAAAACTAAAATTAATCTCGTTATGGAAAGATACGCCGTTGTGGTATTGTTTTATGCCCAATTAAGGACATTGCATTAACATGTTTATGAAATAATGGTACTAATTGCGTTCATCGCTTTTCAAGCCTGATAACTTTCTCTAGAAAGTTATGTTTTGAAATAAAAATAATGCGCAGTTAAAATCATTAGAATTTCGTGATTAACAAGTTGTTCTTACTCTTTGCTCGGATGTACTATTAGTGTTAATAATAGTAACAAAAATAGTATCACAAAATACTACGGACATTATATCGCCTGTTTCAATGTGCCCCAGTAAAGCCGCGAATGCGGATTAATTTGAGAGGCTGTAGAGTGCATGCAATATTTCCATTTTGCGTTTAAAAGATACTGCGAATTCAGAAGCGCCAATTGGCTTAACTGTTTTCTCATCTCCCCTTCTGTGCAGGAATTCACAAATGTTTCTTTAAAGCACCGGTCATTTTCGGTACGTTATTAGAAGTGCGCGAACAAATAACCGAAACTGACAGATACGTTACATTAATAACGAAATTTGTCTTTGTAATAAATGTACGCTAAAGGTTTAAAACATGTATTTTTAAAAAAAGATTGTGTGACTTATGCAAATGCTCTCTCTCTCTCTCTTTTATATTAGTTTTTTTTGTAAAACTCTAAATATTAACTTGGAAGGTAGACAAAAGAATAAATAAATAAAAGTGGATTAAAAATATGCTATCGTGTTCACTTTATCAAAAGTGGAATGGCGATTTTCGTATCTTACTACAACTTAATGATTAATCCAACCCGATCCAGGGAAGTAATAATTTTTTTACTAAAAAGGATTTCCTCTCCAGAATTTTTTGTCAGTACTTTACTATTATTGTCAATAAAACTGGTATTTTCCAGATTGGAAGCATGATTTGCTTGTGAATACGCGGAATAATAGTCCAGTGAGAGGGAGAAAGTGGGAGAAATATGTTCAAGTTTGGGGCGAGGTGGGGGGGGGGAGGGAGGGAGGGTGGGGACAATTTATTTCAACCTCTATTGGCTCTGAAAGGACCACTTCTTTCTTAGAAGGGTTAATTAATCAAAATATTTTTGATCTCAGTTAATATGATTTGACCCCTAATTTCTCCGTTGGTTAATGCCGGCATTTGATTTAGCTTCTTAATAAGTTAATTTACGTAGTCACATCACATTGATTCACATTCATTCACAGCAACTTTTCATTCTATTTCATAAACCCTTCTCAAATCGTCCCGTTTCCATTTTCTTGAGCATACGCATTCTACCCTAAGGGCGTCATTTGACCTTTCAAAGACAGACAGGTATTTTGCACATTTAGGCCATGGTCTTTCAATCTCTTTCAACATCGGTATTTTAAATATTTAATTCTGCTGAGGAATATACATTTTTATGCTCTACTATTTAATTTTCTGAATAAAAATTTGTTTAAACGTTTGGAATGCGCTTAGATGCCATAGATACCATAAGCGCTTTAAAACTTGAATGGGGAAAAGGTATATTTGCGAGTTCCATTTGTAATACCGTCTCTAATTAGTCATATATTATCCCAACGGTTGGCCACCCAAGTAAATGGAAATGCATCGATGAAAATTGCTTCTCGTGAGGGCTGAATTTATCAACGACTTTGAGTGGGCATACCTATCCTTATAATATTTTTACATATACTAATGAATTAGCATAGACAAAGGTGCAGTTTAGCTTTTATGGGTATTCCAGGCAATTTATTTCTTACGTGATTGCTTACTCAACGTAGAAACGTCATGTGATCCACTTTCATTGTTCTTCTTATCACTTCACTTGAAGCAAGATCAAGTTATTAGCAAAATTGCAGGTTAGATGTGTTAAATTTGATTTGTATAGTGCAGGCTACTCAATTACCTGCATATATATATTTTTGTTGTCGATCTATGAAAACACATTAATTAAAAACTCGTCTTATTAAAGTAGATGTGCGGGTGAGTACAAGTAGTCAATACGGTTTTTAATTAATCATAGTATAGTCTCACATGAAAATTTCATGAAGAGAGATGCAAGAAGAAAAGGAATAAAATGTTTCGGTAACCCGAACAGAATTCATAAAATCTTGAAAAAGAGATTTCATTCTACGGGGAAGCATTTTTTCGCTGCAGTACCATGACATCCTCTTAAGTAGGGTTGAATTCCACAACTCCACGTTACAGCCCAACGAGGTGACCATTCAGCACCATAATCTATCAGTGCATATAAAAAGTCAATGCTTAATTGATCTTTAGGGGACAAGTCTTAGATACTCTTCCAATTAGTATATCTAGAATTATGTTACTGATGGCGAAACTCAATGCTACTAATTGATAAACTAGCAGGTGTTTGTAAGCTAGTTCGGTGAAATAAACGAATGTTTGAGTAAATTTAATCGTACCATTTAAATCAAGTACGATTGCGCTGTTTGTGTGTTGGCCTTTATTTATTGATAGGAATTCTTTTCTTAAAAAGAAGATTGTTTTCCACATTATGGGTAAAGCTACTTTAACACTACCACGTGCATTGTGAATGCGTTTTTGGAAATGAGCTTAGTATAAGCATTTAAAGCAAAAATTGCATGTGTTAGCCTCAACAAGAAGGCTTCTATTAGCTTATTATGCACATCTTCTAAGTTGGCAAACTTTAATGCCAATGCGATAAGTGAAGTCTTCCTCCAAGGGCGCAATATAGGTGACAGGAAATAAACCGCAATGTTGCCATAATCTGTATTGAGCGGTTAGGGTTGATTAGGCGGAAACTGAATAACAATGAAATTGTAATTGATCTGTGTGTAATGTTCATTTTGGCCAATTTGTATGACTCTTTTTTGTTCAGTAGAGTTTCTTACTAGGATAGCCCAGAGGTCTTGATCAATTGAGCTTACCTTAAATAAATTCAAGTGAGCTCTTTTGTGTTTGGAAGTCATCTGTCTGCTCGTGGGCTATTACTAATATGTTGACCTGATAATTGATTGAATTTAAGATAAGAAGTGGCAAAATGAGTAATCAAATTAGACAATTGGACAATTAATATTGACTATCGTTGGGATGCTCGTTTTGTCGCCCAAACAGGGTAAAATTAATGCGCCTTGTATTTTGGAAGTTGAAACAATAAGAACTGTACAACTAGGATTACCAAAGGTAAACTAGTTAGAATTCAATTACTTCTCTTCATTTCTTTTGTCATTTCTCCTCTATCGATCATTTAAATGCTCGTTGTTCTCCGATTTAATTTGATCCTCATGATAATTTGTCTTTGCTTGAATTCTAATAAAGCAAGGGAACTACGAAAAAGCGACTGAAGAATTGCATGATTGTGTAGGTTTCATACGTATGGCAGAAATTTTCAAGAGTTAAATGATAGAAATTGGGAACTCGCAAAACTACCTGTAAATCAATCAGTTAGGCAAATGGGGTGTTTGTTTTGCCTGTAGCCTGAACTGGAGAGAAGAGATCCCAGAAAATCTTAATAAATTCCCGAGAGAAGAAGGTATCTATATATATGTGTGTGTATGTACGTTGCCTCGATTCAGACCTCGAAAAGTTACATCAGAATTTCTGAGTGCGCATGTATACACGCCATGGAAGGTGTTTTTGGGAAAGAGAGGGAAATGAATCATCCACATCTATT